AATATTGTTTCTATATTCGGATTTAATCCTTCATATTTGTCGTTCAGACATTGTGTGCAGCGTCTTTCGACTGATTGAGGTTTTTATATATCGTCTTTCCATATTAATATATAGAAATACAAATACAATAGCAAAAGATTGCAGGTGCAAAGTAATCGTTGACTCGCAGGAACGCAAGTACAACGTAGCAAACATGTTATGTTTTAGTACTTAGCCACTTGCTGTGACGGAACAGAGAATAATTATATTACGGTATCCTTAAGTATTTTTATACATGAAAAAATTTGTGACAGAGATAACAAAACATGGTTGTGTGTAAGGGATTAATAGTACATACAATATATTGCAGGTGTACAATACAACGATGTGTTCGCAGCCTCATGTCGCAGGAACAGACAAACTACATGGCAATATGTCTGTTTTTTACATCATCAGTCTCTATGATCGATGAATAACGGCACCTTCAATAATATTTCACGTCACATATATAAACAACACGACCTTGTATAGATAGAAAAAACGATTCGTCGTGTATCTAAAACACAAACAGAGAAAAACATTTATTTTTATGTACAGAGTTGCAATGACCGCACTCAGAATAACAATTAGTTTCTTAATTAATGCTATATACATACCACAAGCTATCGCAGGTACAACAATGTGTTCGCAACCTCATGTCGCAGGAACAGACAAACTACATGGCAATATGTCTGTTTTTTACATCATCAGTCTCTATGATCGATGAATAACGGCATCTTCGATAATATTTCACGTCACGTATATGAACAACACGACCTTGTATAGATAGAAAGAACGATTCGTCGTGTATCTAAAACACAAACAGAGAAAAACATTTACTTGTTTTTATGTACAAAGTCGCAATGACCGCACTCGAAATAATAACAGAAGTTTCGAGATTAATGCTATACATACCACAATAATAAGATATTGCGGGTACAATGATGCTCTTCGAACATGAGCAATTGAAACGGACTTTCAACTTGAGCACTTTCTTCCGAATGATAATAACGGCTTTCGCTCACAGCGAGACGTGAAACAACAAGTGCGTTGATTGTCCCTCAGCGCGCTTCCCTCACTCCGCGCGCTTTGCAGCGTCACGATTAGAGCGTACATATCGAGCCACCACGCGCACCATTGCCCGCGCATTTCAGCAGAGAAAACCGCTCAGTAGCAATCGAACGTGATTGGCTCTTACTTTTAGAACCAACAAATCAACGTCGAATATTGACAAGACGATAACTGAGCGGTTTTCTCTGCTAAACGCGGGCAAAGGTGCGCGTGGTGACACGATGTCTACGCTCCAATCGCGATGCTGCAAAGCGCGCGGAGTGAGGGAAGCGCGCTGAGGGACAATCAACGCACTTGTTGTTTCACGTCTCGCTGTGAGCGAAAGCCGTTATTATCATTCGGAAGAAAGTGCTCAAGTTGAAAGTCCGTTTCAATTGCTCATGTTCGAAGAGCATCATTGTACCCGCAATATCTTATTATTGTGGTATATATAGCATTAATCTCGAAACTTCTGTTATTATTTCGAGTGCGGTCATTGCGACTTTGTACATAAAAACAAGTAAATGTTTTTCTCTGTTTGTGTTTTAGATACACGACGAATCGTTCTCCAGTGAATTTAAAATTTGATTTCAATTTAGCCAAGTTTTCCGTTATGACGTAGTCTCTCCGTATATATCTAATTTTTAATATTATCATTAAACACATATATATATATATATATATAATTTTCGTCAAAAAATTAATAATGAACATAGAACGATTTAGCTATCAGATAATGATATATCTAATCTTCTGCAGGACGAAGAAACGAATCAAAAGAAGCATAAAGAGGCCAGCACGGTTCCTAACGACATCATCAGATGAAGCACCCCAAAAACGTTGTCATAAAAAAGTGACAGACAAAAATATTTCAAATATTGAGGAAGACATAAATGAACTTAGAAATATTCTTAATGAAGATGATAACAAAGTCAGCGCAACAGAGTATACTTCTGACTCTGACGAGAGTACAAGTACAACACAGCATTCGCAGTGCACATCAGAGAAAATTACCTCAACGCAATCGGAAACATTCTTACAAGAGTCTAATTCTGGACACATGACACAATCCACACTCGATAATATAACTTCCCCTTATCCCCAAATTCCTTATCAACATACATCTCAGATAGTCACAAATACTGCTTCTTCATACACACCATTCATATCCAGTAATACATACCGTTGTACATCACAGAATACACCACGTAATCCACTTCTACCACTCTCTACATCTACATCAATGCCATATAGACAAGAGAATACTCAGAATATGCAGTACGACCAAAATGTCCATTTCTGGCCACAACAGGCCAATAATCTTCTTCCACCTCCTCCACCAAATTGCATAAATACTGCTGACACCCATGTTGCATTGCAGCCTATTTATAATAATAACAAGTAAATAAAATGCAGATACAATAATTATAATAACAATCATTTTTTATAGAAATAATCTTTTATAGAAATATCGAGTTTGAAATAAGTTTTTATTATATATATATATATATATATAATTTTCGTCAAAAAATTAATAATGAACATAGAACGATTTAGCTATCAGATAATGATATATCTAATCTTCTGCAGGACGAAGAAACGAATCAAAAGAAGCATAAAGAGGCCAGCACGGTTCCTAACGACATCATCAGATGAAGCACCCCAAAAACGTTGTCATAAAAAAGTGACAGACAAAAATATTTCAAATATTGAGGAAGACATAAATGAACTTAGAAATATTCTTAATGAAGATGATAACAAAGTCAGCGCAACAGAGTATACTTCTGACTGACGAGAGTACAAGTACAACACAGCATTTGCAGTGCACATCAGAGAAAATTACCTCAACGCAATCGGAAACATTCTTACAAGAGTCTAATTCTGGACACATGACACAATCCACACTTACCAAGCATATTAATTCATAGTGTAGTGATATAGTATAATAACGCTTTCTTTGTGGAAACGTTTTATAATGATGACGTTATCAAATTATTGTTATAATTAAATTTTGTATAATATTGAAAGTTGATAATTATTAGCAAGGAATGTAAGAAAAATGTTTTAACAAATTATTATTGCGCGCATTTTACGATTCCATAAAGAGTGGTGCGCATATTCCTTATTTTATTTATTTTAATCCTATTCTTTGTATTTATTATATATTCATGTATATAGTTAATTAAAATCTTAAAAATAAAGTGCTAGTATCGCTGATTATATTAAAGCTCAATTGCGGGCCTATTCTTAAAGTAACCGCCGGTCAGTTCTAGAAAGTTACTACTGCGCAGCTGCCTAGTTCTAAAAAAAACCTTCTGATTGGTCGGTCCAAGGAACCTTCAATTCCTTGCGCAATCGATTAATACTACTAAAGCAATGCTCGGATTTAGTTGCACATTTCGGCCCGATTCCGTGGCTCACGCCTATTAGCGACGAGTCGCCAGATACGCGTAACTAAGGAGCGCGACGCTTTGTCTCAGGAGCGTCCGTATATAAGAATGTCCAAATATAATAGTAAGACAATACTTTTCTAAATACACCGCAATAATTCTCAAAATTAAAAGTTTTTCTTCAATATTTTATATTTCATTGATATAAAATATTGAAGAAAAACTTTTATTTATAGAAAAGTATTGTCTTATTATTACTGCACTGTACTAAAGGAACTAAAATATAGTTAATTTCTACGTTAAATAACCATATGGAACTAGAACAATAAGCAATTGGTAAAATTGATTAATAATGGGAATAAGGGCAAATGGTTAAATAATTGTTCTATATTCCATAGGCATAATGCAAAAATAAATGCGGTACTTAATTATTAGTTGAAATATGGATTTGAAAAATGACGGGACGTCACACCTCCACCCTTATTTAAGAACAAATTACGATGTTTTCGTAGTGATTTGTTCGAGGTCTTTCAAACGATCTGCCAGATCTTTGAATATATGAGGTCTGGGAGTAATATCTATGATTGCTGATTCGATGTTGGATCCAGCATTTTTGTGTGGGTTTAAGGAGTTATCAATCGTTTGTGGTTTTAGGGGTGGTTCTTCGGGCGCAGATGGTGATGGTCCGTTCTCTTCATTTGTGGGGTTTTTGTTGATTGGTCCATGTGCAAGGTGAAGTAACAGATGAGTGAGAAAGCTCCAAACGGCTCCCAGTAAATGTAAACTCCATCCATAAGCGGTATGTAAGGCATATCCATGAATAATTGTGTCAACAACGATTTTTATAATGCGGATGATTACCATGATATCGAATATGCCTGCGGTTGCGGAACCAAATGTGACAAATCCACTCCATACTCGGGAAGCGGCGTTCTCTGCTATTTTATGGAGAGAAGCTTCATCCAGCAAGTTGTACATGGAGACTGCATCTGTGTTGATTGGTGAGGGGCGAGGGGAAACCAGCGCGGGGGGTATGACGTCACGCGGGGGAATCGCGTCCTAACCGGTGGGCAAGGGGTCCGCCGAGAGGGGGGGAGGGGACCGCGTCCTAACCGATGGGCGAGGGGTCCGCGGGGAAGAGGGAGACCGCGTCCTAACCGATAGGCGAGGGACCCGCTAACCTAACCGGTAGGCGAGGGGTCCGCGGAGAGGGGGAGAGGAACCCGCGACGAAACCGATAGGTGAGGGACCCGCGGGGAATAGAAGGATCGCGGCGAAACCGATAGGCGAGCTACCTGTGAGGAAGAGGGAACGCGATGCCGCGAGGAGGCGTGGGTGAAGAATAGCG